GGAAAACTTGAAATCGCATCATATGACCCCTTTAATAATAAAAAATAAAACTAACGAATATATCAATAAATATATCACCCAATCAATAAATAAATGAATAAATGACTATCCAAAAATACAGTAGTATGCTCTTCCAAATACATACAGTAGTATTACATTTTTAATCCAACTTTGTGCATATTCTAAATTAAAATAAATATATAATGATAAAATAAATAATAAAATGAATGAATATAAATAAAATAAAATGTCAGGACAGTCACTATCACCCCCTTTAACAAAAGTGTAGGAAGCTTTTCCAAACATCCTTTAGTTTAACTGAGGAGTAGTTTTAATTGTGAACACACGGAGGCAGAACAGAGCTTGTCTCACTGAGCTGTGAACGATGACTCACTCCAACACCTTCCCATCAGTAAAGAAACATTATATTTATCTCTGCCATACAACAAGACAATAAATATGGTTTATTCACTTTCAGCTGACCCATTTCCGTATGTGCAAGCATACAGCTTTAGCATTTGTTAAATATTTATGTCAATAACATATTTCAATAATCTGATGACTCATGAGATACACGGGACTTATGTGCATCTCTCTTGGTTATAAATACAGATGGCAGCATGTGAGGAGAGGAGACAAGAAGATGAGGAGGATCAATGAAGTATCGGATGAACTCAAGGGGTCCTGCCTCCACAGCGTCCAATCAGATGTCAGAATGCAGACCCGTTTTAACCAATAGGAGAGCAGCACAAGGCAAAATAAGCTAAAATATTTAAAGAATGAATTTTGCAGATTCTTTGTTGACCTGGTTATAATAACAGGGCTGAAATGTTGAAGTGAAACCGCATCAGTGACTCTGCAGCTGTAATTATCAAAGTGGAAATGAAACTCAGCGAAGCATTTTTTTTCTATTTGTGAACCGGTAACCTCATTTCCCAGATTTAAAGAGCATAAACAGCCCTTATGAAGATACAGCCCTGATATATGAACTTACCAACACAGTTAACTTCCCACTCAACAGCTCAGAGCGTAACGGCTCCTCGTGAGGCTGCAGTTTGACGATGCCCTCCCTAAGACGTGTCTCCTGTAGAAGAACCACATCACCCTTTATTAATAACTAGTCTACTAAATAGTACTTTTTGATTCCATTTTGTTTCATTTATATTTATACATTACATTTTTTATATTTTCATTTATTCCATATACACACAAAATAAAAAATATTGGAAATTAATTGGAAAAAATATATATATATAAATATATATGTATATAAAATAAATAATATGAATGAATATATCAACACAAATAAATGAATAAATAATAAAACAAAAAAAAATTAAAAAAAATTTGTATATGTAAAATACAAAAATATATCCGTTTGCATTGAACTTTCAGCTTC